TATTTAGGGACTCTTGTTCATGCAGGATCATAAATTCCACAAATGAGCACAAACTGGCATTATCCTTAGATTGGGTCATTTAGGATGCTCGAAAGATAAATCACTGAACCGGCCTTTTAAAGGTGCTGAATGATTCCTAAACCGCAGGGTGTTACTAGGTTTCATGGAGAAATTTTTTTTTCTTTTCTCAGAGCTCTTAATGTGTTTGGAGAAATAAAATCTGGAATATTGAAGAAGATTGTTTTGGAATTTGAGAGCTTGATAGGCATATACTAAATGTGAATAATATGAGAAAGCTAACATTGGCATCTTTGTCTTCAGAGTCTTAACTGCCCTTGTCCCAGAAAAGGAAACTTAATCAATGAGAACCACATTATACGGACTCAGCCCAACATGAAAATGTGCAGCCACTGGCTTTATCATGTAGCTCAAGCCAGACAGAAACCGTGATTCCCTGCCGGGGAGTGGCTTCCCGCAGAACCGGGCAAGCCAAGCCCACCCTCTGAGGGGGTCTGAGAAGAAGTGGGATTGGCAGGTATTCCTGGCCAGGCTACCTGCCCGGAAATGGGGCTCGCTGTAACTCAGACAAAGAAAGGTTCCCAGGCTCCTCTTGGGAAGGGTAAGTTGGGCAAAGTTGGGAGTGGCCTGAGGATCTGGCCCTTCCAGTAGGAGATTCTGGCACAGAGGCTGTGTCTTGATTCTGGGTGATGGTACAATGTCAGGTTGCACAAAATTGGGCAGGTTCAGCTCTGTGGAGAGAGCTCCTCTTTGTGTCCTGTAAGGGGCCCAGGAGGGGATCTGTGGGATAGGACCTCATCGCCTGTAGGTCTTGTTCTTACGGCCTTTGGGGTGGGTTGAGCCTAGCCTCACCTTTCTTCGCTCTCCCCCTTGCTCACTATGTTCTACGCCCTAGTGGTCTTCTTTTTGTTCCCCCACAAGCCAAGCTTGTTCCCACCTTTGGCTCTTTGCATTTGATTTTGCTGTACCTTCTTCCCCCTTTTAGATATTCACATGCTTGGTTCCATCGTTTCACTCACGTCTTACCTTAAATGTCACTTTCTCAGAGAGCCTACTTTGACGTCTCTCTTCATCTCCTTTAAAGGCACAATGTCTTTTTTGCTTTTCTTCAAAGCACTCATTATGTTCATGTGTTTGCCTACTGTCTCTCTTCCTCAGCTAAAATATAGATGCTGGCAGAACAGAGACTGCATTTGCCTTGTTCAATTCTGTATCCCCAATGCCTAGGACATAAAATATCCTCAAAAAATTTTGTTGGATGGATGGATGAATGGATGAATCTCTCAGGAGCTGAATATCCCTAGAGTAGTGTCCATTTCTATTTTGGGAAGAGAGGCAAGAGAGAATCTAGCTTTAGCCACTTCTCAGCACCTAGAGAACTTCTCCATGGTATGCAGGAAAACAAGCCTCCTTTCTCCTTAGTTCTGCTATTTCAGGTGAGCTGGTTGCCCATTGAGAGAACCACCCAGCTGATTTACTTGGTTTGTAAATCCTTATTTGGGATAACTGCCCAGTGCCCGGTGGCATGCGTGTGTGCATATGTCTGGCACCCCAACTTTATCATGATCTTCTCAATGAGCAAAGAAAGGAGGTGGCATGGGGGTAGAGTGGGGAATCTTATTATAAGAAAATCATTCCAGGGCCTGCTAAGAAGGGAGGTGAACCAGTGTGGAAATATGAGATAGGCTGTGTGGAAGACATGTGGGAACTATGGGAAGAGGAGCAGAAGATCTCCAATCTCCCCTCTTTGTGGTGCAGGCCTAGTCTAATCGCTTCCCTCTGTCATATTTCTTGGTAGCCCTAAGAAAAATCAATCATAAGAAAGAAAAATATATTAGGAAAGGAAGAAAAGGGGGAAAAAAGTAAAATAGGGAGAGGTAAAAGGCTAAAGCAATTAAAATGAAGAGTCATCTAAGAAAAAATTGAAAAAAGAATACAACTGACAGCTAAAAGTTTACAACAGGTAAATGAGTAAGGCGTTTGGAAAATGAGAGGCGAAATAAAAGATTTAAAATAAAAGATGTGGCCGGCCCTGTGGCTTGGTGGTT